ATGTCATCCTCAGTTATTTCTGGTTTATTTCCAGCTACTCGTCTCACCTCATTCTGCAGTTTCTCCATGGTTTTTGGGTGCTTTAAAAGCTCTGCCATTGCCCACTCCAAAGCAGTAGATGTCGTATCCGTCCCAGCAGCGAACATATCCTGTCATAAACAAAGAATGGATGCTATATTTAGATAAAACTTCACCTAATTAATATAATATCATTTGATCGAGGAAGAAAATAAGTTACCTATCTTCTTATGAAAATTACAAGTGTACAAAGACCACCAGATATGAGTTTTGAAGAATTTATTATCAAGACAAGATACAAAATACTCAGTTAGCAGACTTGAGCACCAGAGGGCCTCTACTAGGCAACTACAGAACCCTTTTAAATGTGTCGTTTTGCAGGTATGTCACAAACTAAACTCACAAGGCATGAGGATTCGAAGATTCTCGCACATTCAGTGATCGATATGCAATTCATGTTGTTGCATGTTCTCTCAATGTTGCATTCAACAAATAAAGGGTTAGATTTCTACAAAATATTTTCATATGCTGGTGAAATCTGATAATGTTTTAAAAGAGTTCGAAACATTCTTAATAAGTTAATGGTAATCACCACTTATTCAGACACAAATGAATATGCTAAATCATAGTGGACGAGAAAGAAAATGCTTACAAAAATGACAGCTTTTATGGTATCAGTTCCGATAGGGAAACCAGCCTTGTTTTCTCTCTGAACTTCGAGCAATATATCGACAAGATCTGGTCCTCCAGCCTCGTTGGTGCCATTGTGCTGTGTCTTGCCTTGTTTTCGATTTCTGTGCTCCTCGACTACATCCGATAAAAATTCATCTAACACTTTAGCTGATTTCTCGACTCTGGTATTCAAACCGTTAATGTTATTGATCCATTTAAGCCACGGAATGTAATCCTCTACATTAAAAATACCTATTAACTGCCCAATTTCCTTCAACATTGATTCAAACTTCGTGCTTTCTTCTCCATCAGTATATTTCCTTCCAAGTGCAACTCTACATATAATATCATTAGTAAGCGACACCAATATATCGCTCAAGTTTATCAATGACGAAGATGATGAGCAAGACCGCCTAATTTTCTGGATCATAAGGGATGTTTCTTCTTCTCTTATATGACGAAAAGATTGAACCCTCTTATTGCTCAAAAGCTGAAGCACACATATGCTTCTTACCTGCCTCCAGTGCTCGCCATAAGGAGTAAACGCGATGTCCTTAGTGCCATAAAGAACTTTATCAAGGATGCTAGATTTCGGCCTGTTCGAGAAGATCAGGTCCTGATTTTTCATGATCTCCCGGGCTGCATCTGCAGACGAAACAATAACTGCTGGAAATCTACCAAGATGAAGCATCATGAGTGGGCCATAGTGTTTGGATAGTGCTTGCAGCGAGCGATGGGGGTATAAACCGAGTTGGTGAAGATTTCCAATCACGGGAAACTTAGGGGGAGATGGCGGTAACCTTTTCCGGGCTTTTGACACCGGATTAAAGTACCATTTGAAGAGGAAGACAATGCACAAAACAAAGGCAAAAAGAGAAACTATAGAAGGTGAAAAACAGACCATTTTTTCTTAGTTAACAAGATATCTTCTCATGCATATGTTCTACTATAAATATACATGTTCATTTCCCAGGTGCAATACAATAGCTGAAACTTCAAAATTGGCATGACAAAAGAAATTATTATTTTTGGGTTGTCATTTTCATTGGACTTGTAGTTTGAACTGAATTATACCATTATCAGATACACTGAATTTTTTTTACTTCGGTTTTTAGAAACGTTTATGAATAAGTTTTGTCCATTTCTATTTGACTAGTAAGTTTTGTACTGCCTCAGACGTAATGAGCCCCCACAACCTTTGAAAATTTGAGACATTCGGTATATTGTCATCTAAAAAAATTGTTAATAATCGTTGTAGTCATATTTTTCAAGCCGTGTCTTCAAAAATATTTCATGGATCGACCAAGTTTGCCAGCAAAAAAGGTAGCTGAAATCATAATTTGCACAACATTAAAAAAGAATTAAACATGGGACCTTGTTTGATATGTAAATTGTACTTTACTTGAAGAGTTTGTACGATGCTCGATTTGTAGTATCATAAGCCTCGAAATAGAGTATGCACAATCTATTTGAATTAAATTAATAAAAGCCCCTCTTTAGTTTGATTAAATATTAAATTTTTAGTAGATTTTAATTAAAAATAATGAAATAGGTGATTGAAAAGAAGATAATTAAAGTTATAGAACTGATCAAATATGTAGAAAATGAATTTTAAAAGTTATGGGTACCGTCAAATATGTTATAAACGGACTGATAGAGCTAATCCACTATCTCAAGCCCTTGTTTGGGCTCCATTTTAATGAATTTTTTTTTAGAGAATGTGTGGATAAAAAATAAGAAAAATTTTAAATTTATCTTTAGTATCATTTTATTTAAGAATAATTGGTTGAAAATGATGAAAGAAAAAAATGCATTAAATTAAAATGAATCCCAAAAATGGGCGGAATTTGATCCTTGTAATTATATCCACAATGAAGACGGTGAATAGAATAAAAATATTATTTTGGAGCCATCATATTCGGCTCACCAAATCTGACAGCATTCTTTCTTTCTTTCTTTATTTATTTTTTTTAATAGAATTTTGTAGTCTTTTCAACTTCGAAGCAGTCTCTGCAGCAGCAGCAGCAGCAGCAGCAGTCATTGTCATCGCAACCTTTCTTGAATATCAATATATTATTGACTGGATTATATTGACTGGATTTATTTATTTATATTGACTGGATTTCAGACAAGCTCGCCTAAAATATGATTACTTTTCTAAATTGTCATTGCCGCAGGAAAAAATTAAAAACAGCCACCTTAAAAGTTTTACTCATCACATCATACATAATTTCAACTTCCAACAAGAAATATATTTTAACTTATTCACACAAAAATAAGATTGGATGCATTCCCACTGACTATTTTGGAAAAAAAATTCATAATTATCATACTTTAAGACTACAATTTCAAAAATATCAAACTTGTAGATCTCTTTCAAAAATTCAGGTCATAGTTTATAGGGAAAATTGTACTAGCGGTCCCTGACCTTTTCCTTTTTGAAGAATTTACCTTAACTTTCATTTTGTATCAGCGAAGATTCCCAACCTTTCATAAATATGTACTTGAGATCCATCTAGATGGAAACAATCTAAAACACCATGAGTTAACCGAAAAAATTTCTTGAACTATCTGTCACTGCGACAATTTTATTAGATGTTAATACATTTTTGGAAGGTGTTTTTAGACGGTTTTGGTCAATTAACGATGTTTTGGACGGATTTCGTCCAGATGGATTTTAGGTGCATATTTATGAAAGGTTAGAAACCTTCGTTGGCACAAAATGAAGGTTAGGGTAAAATCTGCAAAAAAATGAAATGATTAGGGACCTCTGCTGCAATTTTTCCTAGTTTATATTTGTCTTTCTTAAAACTTATATATGGATAGCATTTCATTAGAAAATATTGTGACGTAAATTAAGGTTATTATATGATAACTGATGATGTTCTCTCTCACTTTATCGCTTTCAAAAATAAATTAAATCAATTATTTGCAATGTTTTAAAAATCGACTAGAGCATCAATCCAGAAAATGAAAAAGGTTCAAACTCAGGTTGAATTGGGACCGAACGGAATGCCAAAATTAAGTAAATAAACACATACATAACAAAATATTATAACAAAATTATTTTTTTAAAATTTAATACTAGTAATTTTGAATAAATATAAATCCATGTTTGTCAACTAGATTTATTATCGCATAATTTATTTTAAAACTTCAAAAACTAATCATTACTACATCCAAAATAATTTGTTTTGTTTAATTAAAATTGCTTTTGCTTTGGAGGCCATAATTATTAGTACATCCAAACTAATCATTAGCACATCCATGATAATGTAGAATGAAGTAAATAATTAAATATTTAAGATTTCCGTAGCACGTCCCTATAGCTGTTGTTCCACATTGGATGATCAAAGAAATGCAGGGACGGACCCACGTAAGGTCAGATGACCCCACAAAATTTTGATTTTTCATTTTTTACCCCCTTCAAAAATAGTTGTTTTAACTCGTTTTTGACCCACTTTAATACATACCAAATGAAATCGAAATATTACATTCTTAATATTATTTCTAAGTGTTCAAGGCCTAGTTTTCGCTTCTTAATGGTGTGCGAAATGATCGACCATAGCAAAAGATAAAATGTATTAAAGTAAGCCATTCCAAATTAGTATTTCGAAAATTTTGATAATATGCTAACTTTTAAAATTTGTCAATGATCATATACTATTCAAATCTACAAATCGCTTGCATCATCTAGAAGTTCGTTTTGAAAACTATATCGTAGTTATATCGAATGGTCTAAACAGATATCGAAAATAATTAAATATGCACCAAACGTACGTATTAAAATAGGCGTTTTACTCGTCTTTTTTTTAAAAAAATTATTTTATTAAAGTTTATTATTTTTTCACTATAAATTTTCCAATATAATTTACATTATTTTATTAGGAAATCTTACATTAAATATGATGTCAAAAATTCTAAAATCGTTACGGATTAAATATAATTTGAATTACATTCAAATTATTTTTTCGTTAAACTTAAATTTTATTTATTTCTTACATCCAATTTGATTTACTCGTCATTAGCTCAACATCCAACAATGACATGATAAACAAAACTATATATGTAACAAAATTCATTTAACAATATTGGTAACGACAGAATTATAAGACACTTTCAAGATGTCAAAAATACGTATTAACTTATTTTTATAAATATTATATTGTTTTAAAAAATTACACATTAATTTTTGGAGTTAAGCACAACCCGCGAGGATGAACTCGCAAATGACCGCGCCCTCACATGCCCAGTGGGGTCCCCATGAATAAAATAATCCCGACCTCTTGTATGTGTTTTGTGTCGATCCTGCGATAATTCATGTGGACACTGTAGCACGACTCTAATTTTTGACCCCATAACTCAAAGCGGTTGGGTCCGCCCTTGAAGAAATGTGCATGAAGATTATCTTCTAAAAGCAACAACATTTTAAAGGTAAATCTGGATTGGGCCTGC